TTCTTGCTATAATTTTACGTGTGAAAATCGTGAGTAGACCGCTGACTAACAGTACTGCGTTGACAATTTAAAGATTTAGTTGCACTAAAAATGACTTGATTGCCATAATAATCTATAGGTTCTTCATTTATCTAGATTCGTATGGTCTTTTCCAGATATTTCAGGAACATTTAAAAAGACATTTAAAAAGATATGAGTTTTGTGGCACAGTTTCATAGGTCGTTCAGYGGTGGGGACTGCAGAGACACTATCCTAGGTCGATATATTTTATAAAAGGGACGTTTAAACAGATCAGTTTTATATTGCAGTTTCGCCAAAGGCGATAGGCGATAGGTCATTCCGTCATGGAAATGGTTTCGTTGAATACAAAGAAGACCGCATCATTCTCAGCACGAAGGTCCATACTCTTGACGAGAAGAAGAAGAAGAAACACAAGTCATTCCAGCTATTCTTGGATCTTGAAACGACATATATCCTATCGCTTTTCACCTATCTGCTATCGCCTATCGCCTTTGGCGATGACAACGTTTTTTGAATTAGGTGTATAAGCAATATATTTGCGCACGTCAGTGTGTTTCAGTACAARGGCTGTCGGCCATCACAGCTTAGGAACACGATACGTAGCTCTAGCTGAGTTGTGCTTGTTGTTTGAGTACCTTACAGCTCTACTGAGACGTTTGTCAGGTGAACGTACCTCTATACTCAGTTCCGTTATATTAAAGTGAAATAATATACTTTAAAGCTTTTAGTAGAATTACAGACGTATTATTAATTCGCCAGATATTGTCTAGAGATGAAGTATGCGAGCGTGTAGTACTTTTCGTGGAATTGCATGAAATTGTGCATGAGATTGATCCCCCCCCCCCTTTTTCACATCAAAACAAACAAACAAAGGAAAAAAATCTTTCAAAAATATAGGGTATGTAATCCGAAAAACTGAAATTACAATTGTTTTTTTGTTGCAATGGTTGTTAGTCGTGTATTTCCGCAAATAAATCGGAAACCTGATG